AAGGCCTTGCACAAGCCAGGCAGGTCTTCTACCACTAAGTCCTGGGGATTTTGAAACAAGATCTCATGATGTAGCTCAAAGCTGGCCTGCAACCTGCTATGTAGCCCAGGCTAACTTCAATTCATAATTCTCTAGCTTCAACCTCCCAAGTGCTGAAATTATAGGTACACACTACCATGTCCAAAAGTACTCTTCTTTAACTCAAAGAGACAGCTCAGCCATATAAGATAATCATGGTGTCTGTGGGTTTCTATGGACTGTGAAAATGCAGAGTGAGAAAAGACTATTAAGAATTCAGCTGTGAATTTGTATTGGGTATAATAATGGATGGGAGACAGAGATAGGAGGGTTTTTGGTTCAAGAGCAGCCTTGGACTATGTATTAAGATACCATCTGAAAACCAAAACAATAAAAAAAATTAATTTATAGTTTATTAACAAAAGATATAGCCATAAATTTTTTTAAATAATAGTACAACAATAAATGAAATAAGCTATTAGATTTACAGTAACATCTTAGAACAAGTAGAGATGTGATGCCTTGCAAAGTGCTGTATGGCTACTGCGTTCCTCCAGCCCCACCACCCCACCACACAGAACCACTGGCATACACCAACACTTGGAGAAGAGAACAACGCTCGCAGAAACAATGCTCCATGCCTTCTAAGCTTAAAATTGTGATTATATAAAAAAAGAAAGCCTTCTTCCTCTAAACATTGTTCCAAACTTTGAGTCTATTCCAAAGAACAGAGGAGATAATAAAACACATTGAATTACCTCAAAGAAAGGATCAGACCTGTAGACCCAATTGTAGATTTAAAGCACTGGTAAATAACACTGTGAATATTCCTTAAAACTAATTTTTAAAAAATAATCCAAAACTGGACCTGGCAGTATAGGCCTATAATCCTCATTATAAATCCTATAATCCTATCCAGGATAAAAGGATCACAAGTTCAAGGTCAACTAGGGCTACAGAGGGAATTCAAGGTTAGCCTAAGCAACCTAATGAGACTCTGTCTCAAACAGAAAGTGAAAAGAAGGCTGCGGAATGTATAGAGTTCAGTGGTGTGGGTGTGGCAGAGAACATGCCAAGTACGAACAGGGTCTTGGGTTCAATTCCCATCACTAAAAAGAAAGAAAAGAAGGAAGGGGAAAGCAGGGAAAGAAAGAAGAGAGAGATCCAATTTCACTGTCCCCTGTCTCATGTCCCTATGTCCCAGCCAAGAGAATTGCATCTTATGGAGATAGGATTACCAAGACAGTCTGTACAGCAAATACAACTCGCCCTACCAGGCCACCGCTGCTTCCTTTACTCCACGCTGTATTTCAAGCTCTTACACCCTAAAGTCCTCAACTGTCTTCACTTCATCTAAATCAAGGGTCCTCTAAAGACTTTAGGCATGTTCAAGTTCAAGACAGAATGGCAGGAGCCACTAAATTTCTATTACAGTCTATCCAAGAACAAACGGCTCTCATAGTTACTTGCTAAGTGCTGACCAGGCCGAAGCCTACAAAACAAAGGACTGTTTGGGGCATTCAGTAGTTAACAGCTGAACATAGGGACTGTTCCTGGTGTGGAAACACGTAAAACAGAACACACCAAAGGGTGGTTTATCCGTCTGGAACACTTCAAATCCTCTCTAGTATCACAGGCAAATCCCCTTAATGGACGACAGCTGGATTCAGTGCTGAATGATACGACCACTGATCTTCATGATCAGTTTTTTCTTTTTAACTTTCTTCAGAGATTGCAAACTACATAGCAACCATTTTAAAAAATACCTACTTTGTTTTAACATACTTGTGTCAACTTGGTAAATATATCTTTGCACCAAGTTTTCTCATCTATAAAATAAAAATATTGATACTTATCCTGAGAGATATGTAACTATTAAATAAGATAATGTATTTAAGCCCTTAGAAGAACGTCTGGCACATAACAACAGCTTAGCATACATTCATTATTATTCTACGTAAAAAGTAGCTTCCATGTACTATCAACTCATTAGTCCTCACACTTGGTATGAAACTATTTATACAAATTTAAATCGCAATTAAAAGGCAGAATTCTGAGAAAAAAAATGATTACATTTCATCAGTTTTAGAAGATTAATTAATTATAATATATAAGATAATTAATTACTAAGCCTTGGCCAGCCAGACAAGTTAGCTTCACTCCACCATCCCCGCTTACAAGATGCTACTCTTTATGCATCCCCTAACTTCAGGGATTTGTGGTATCATCAAAAAAGGCTAAGACAGAAACAGACGTCACCAAAAAGACTTTCCTCTCTGCCCTTCACGGCCTCCCTCCCCCACACATGCCCACCATCAATTACCACCCCGTACAATGCTAGGCTTTGTAACAGCTCTGGTTCTCCATTTTCAGATAGTCTGGCTTTAATCATCTTTCAACTGCTCTACTTACAACATTCTTACAAGGCACAGAAGACTTAGAAGCAAAAATATAGAAAAACAATCCAGGTTGGCAGAATTCAAGAGACAATGCCAGGTTAATTAGACCGGCACAAAGTTCTATAGCAAATAATGAAGCTATACTGTAAAGTTAGAAAACTAAGTTGGAACCAAATTGTGAAGCACTTTAACCCCACATTAGAGAATACGGACTCAAATCTGTAAGCATTACATCTCTGCCATTTTTCTTTTTTGTCCATGTAGTACATGTATGTTTTCAAGTGTGTGTACATGTGTGTTGAGGCCAGAGGTTGATGACAGGTGTCTTCTTCAGTGGCTCTCCACCTTACTTTTAGAGCCAGGCCTCTCCCTGAAACTAGACCTTATCAGTTAACTAGACGCTGCTCAGTGACCTCTAAAGGATCTGCCTATCTCCATATAGGCACTAGAGTGTCCTACCCAGCTTTTTATGTGGGTGCTAGGCATCTGAACTCAGGTTCCCATGCTTATGTGGGAAGCGTTTTACTGACTGAGCAATCAATCGCCCCAGCCCTTTCTTCCTCTAATTCCACTCTCAAATTAAAATAATAATAATATATGAAAGGCGTACATTTAATCTGCAAGTTATAATACCAATACCAAAATCCATAGATTACATTATAAAAACAACCTATTGGCACATGCTCAAAAAAAAAAAAAAAACAGTCTTCAGATCATGTGAAATCACTGAAGTTCAGAATGGATGATTTTAACCTCTGGAACTGATAAAATGCTTGGAAAAGAATAATTTGGTTTTTGCTATAAGTAAAGATCTCGAGTCAGTAGTGGTGGCACAAGCCTTTAATCCTGGCTCTCAGAAGGCAGAGGTAGAGGCAGGTAGATCTCTGGGTTAGCTGGTCTACAGAGGAAGTGCCAGGCCAGGCCAGTCAGGACTACACAGAGAAATCCTTTCTCAAAAACAAACAAACAAACAGAGATCCACCATTCAAGCATAGCCAACAGTTTAAAGCCAAATGACTCTTGAGGCTACCACCTCCTTTACACACGGCCATATTAGCACCAGACTTAGAATTTTATACATGTTTTAATAGCTGTGGGAACTATAAGAAGGTTCTTCATGAACTCAAATTCTTAGCTTTCAGAAATACACAAATCATTTTGAGGTCTTGGCAAAAGATTTAAGAACTATTCCTAAAACTCTATATATGAATATACAGTAAGTCTTCTGCCTTATTTCAAAGAGTTTATCCTAAATGGAGGAAGGTATTTCAAACTATTTTATCTATCAGCATTGTTCTTTTATCTGGGAACCTTTTTGTTTAGTTCTTTTTATTGATGTCTAATTGCCCATGGTCATTTAATAAACAAGGTTACTACACAAGATCGAATTTATGAAGCCTCTCTCATTGAAACCATGCTCCAAAGAAACGAGCTAGCTATTCATAAATGCAAATACAGCCATAAAAGTAAATGTAACACCGATGTTTACTTACACGTGCCCTATTAACTCCTAGTGCTAAATGTTGCCACTAAATTCAGTCCTGAGAAATGAGTGCTGCACAGAGATCAGTGCAAGACAATGATGACAAATCTGCCTAGGGGATGTCCCATAACTCAAGATTACCAAACCCTCAAATCTCAACTTCTTTCCATAGTAAACTTTCTTGTAGACCCAAGTACATGAGGCCATCTGGTGGGTAAAATACAGAAAAACACCAATTCTGAGCTAGCTGGCAGCAGTCAGTTCAAAAACCTAGTTCAATGCCTTGCTTACCAAACCACACAGTCTCCTCAGAAATTAAGAGCCAGAGTTACTGCTCAACACATACTTGATTTAAAATGGTCCCTATTATTTTAAATCCTAACCACCCCTCAAAAACAAAACAAAGCAAAACAGATCATAGTTACAATAATCTCAGAATAAAGTAGCAATACAAACAAAATCTCCCAAATTTTCTTCATTGTAAATGATTTAACAGTATCAAAAGCCTCAGACAAATGTGGTGCCCACCATTAGCCCCAACACTCAGGATGCAGAAACAGGTAGATCTCTGTTGATTTGAGGTCAGCCTGGTCTACTTATAGAGTTCCAGGCCACTAAAGGATACATAATGAAATTCTGTTTCAAAAAAGAAATAAAAAAGCATGGGGATCATGGGAGATGGTAGAAGGGGAGAAGGGAGGAAGGGAAAGGAATGTGTGTGTGTGTGTATATATATATATATATATACATATATTATATTATATTGATATATATAAAATCATTTAAATAAATAAAACAATTTAAATAAAATAAAATTTTATTTTAACAATTTTTTAAAAAATAAGAATAAAAAGATTTAAAATATAAACTAACTTAAACAATTTTAAAAGAAAGAAAAAAGAAATCAACAAGAACAAAAAATTGGTGCCTTAAATACAGATATTATCCCAATAAAATCTGTAAGAAAAGAAGAGGCAACAGATGTCAGTGATCTGTAGAACCCTGTCCCCACAAGGACAGGAACTACATTAGTCATCTCTGCAAAATCCTCAGATCCAAGGAAATTCCTGACACCATGGTGCATGCTCAAAAATTATAACCCAAATTAAAATAACTTGTTTTATAAGCCTTAGTGCTTTCCAATAAACACAGAGCACCATAGTCTACACAGGTACCTTTAGTGGGTGCAGGCTGTATGCTGATGATCGATTGCTGCTTTGCCAGTGGCATAAGGGCTGGGAGTGTCTGAATAATGATGGTTTTTGCTGGAACACTGGCATTTGTTTGAGTCTTAGGTGCTGCTGGAAGTAATAAAGGCTTGGGCTGAACTGAAGGTTTTGAACTCATTTGATTTTTTTTCTTTGGAGTCAGTCCATGTTCTGGAGGAAAAAAACAAAACAAAACCTCAAATCAATCTGAAGAAAATAAAGAAAACATTATATTATATTATATTATATTATATTATATTATATTATTATATTCTTTCCTCTATGTGTTATCTTGACTTCTAAGAACAATCATCAGTGAGTATAAACCAGCCATTCTTTACATGACTGGACTGAAGAAAGCCCTCAGTCTGGGATCGTCCTTTCTGCAGCTTTGGGAAGGGGGACCATGAACTGGTAGGGATGATGCTAAAATTACTGAATAATGAATGTCTAGACTAGCATGAGGTAAGAGTCATCACCTCACGTTCAGTCTCTTTCCCAGGACCTTCACAACCTCTCCTGAAGATGACAGAATCTATGTCTATTTTAAGTGTATTTCACCTGTGAAGACAAGGCCCTTCACAAAAGAGTTTATTCCCTTGTCCTCTTCACAGTAATCATTCAGAACAACAACTATATAATATACTCATTTAGGGGCTGGAAAGATGGCGCAGCACTTAAGAGTACTGGTTGCTCTTCAAGAAGACCTGAAATCTAGAACAGCTTACAGCTACCTATAATTCCAGTTCCAGGGGATTTGAAGCCCTCTTTTTGCGCCTGGAGGCAGGAGGCACACAGCTGATTCACATACATAAATGCAGATAAAACGCCCATATACATAAAATAAAATGATACACTAATTTTAAAATATAAGCCAGCTTAATATATGCTTAATCCAATATTTGCCTTTTAAAAATGGAACCTACGTTATCTAAAATAGAAATAATAGAAATTGGGAGACAGACGGATACCAGCTTTGTTTCCAGGACCAATGACAGGCTTGTCTTCTTTGAGTGGCTCTACAGAGGAGGGGCTGTTACAGCTTTCACCATATAAGGAAAGGGGAGACTGGGAGCTGGAAGACAAATCAAACTCCTCCTGCAGCAAAACACAAACAAATTGATGTCCATGAGTACAATCTTTGGCCAACAAATTACTTAGGGAACAAGAGCATATGAGAAGCGTGCAGGACAACTTACTGCGAAGGTAAGGTACAATATGAAGCGACTACTGATAAATCAACTCTCATCAACCTCAAGGATGTAGCTTAAGTAGCATCTGTAATCTGTATACTGCACTCGTGTAACAAACAGAAATCGTTCATCCGTCTCTCCACTTCGTCCCACAAACTTCGGAGCTTACTTAGTTCTTAGTCATACAAACATTTACTTATCATCATAAGGCAAGAGCTACTATTACTATACTTTTTCATTTGCTATTCTTGCAGAGGACCCAGATTCAGTTCCCAGCATCCACAAGGTGTCTCACAACCACCTGTAACTCTAGTTCTACGGTATCTGACATCTTCTGACCTCTGCAGACACTAAGCAAACACATGATGCACATACATATATGTAGGCAAAACACTTCTACATATAAAATTATCTAAAGCAAAAATCTTTTAAAAAAAAAAAGATGGGGGAGGCTAATTGACAATTGAGAGTTTCTCTGTCATAAAGACTACAAAGTTGGCAGTTAATAGGGAAATGAGATCAGCAATACCTAAACCCAGCAAGAGTTTGAAACTTCAGAGCTGGGGAAATGGGTCACTAAATTGCCCTCTCACACTGCTAGTTCCAGTGCTGGGAAGGTGCAGACAGGAGGATCCCTGGGCCTCTCTGGTCAGCCATCTGATCAGTTAGGTCAAGGCAAGTGACGCTGTCTCACATAGGTGAGGTATTCCTGAGGAACCAGCCTCCTTATACACCAGCACACACGTAGGAACCGCAGAACACAGTTTAATATCTTAAACATGCAACTGATTCTTGAAAATAACACAAAAATGACAGCAAATCCATAGAAAAACTGTCAAAAAGACAAGAATAAACAATTTATAGAAGATCAGAAATGCATAATGAAAATGTAGAGTTTGAAAATAATCAGTAATCAAGGAAATCAAAATTAAACAACAACAAAAAACGAGATAACATCAAGCATTAGCAGAAAAGCTCCAAGGCCCCCAAACACTGCTGATGAGCCTGCAGAGTACCTGCGGCAACTCCCAGAGAGCCGAAGAAGCTTGTCAAAATGAGTGCCTGTGGCCTGCCACCCGCTTTTACTATTCTTGGACATTCCTCCCAAAGGGATTCTGTGTGGACACAGGCCCACAAGAGAATATTTTCTTCATGATATGGGTAAAATACAATGAATGCTTATCAAAATATGCAGTTAGATGCAACAGATTTTATGTATATAGAGCAATATGAATTAATCTTTAAAAGTAAGTAAAATCCAGGAATGTGGTTCACCCTTTAACCTTATCACTCAAAAGGCTAAAGCAGAGAATCATTAAGTTCAAGGCTATCTTGACCTTCAAAGCACGAGTTTGTCTCAATACCCAAAATATAAATTAATAATAATAAATATTTAAATAGGAGACCTAATATAATATCATTTGCATAAATTTAAAATGTGTGCCTGTAACTGAAATCAGTTAGTAGAAAAATAATTCTTTTAAGAAATAATATTGGCATAAACATTTTGATAATAATTTGGAGAAACATAAAATTAAGCCTGTATCTTGTAGCACATATAAGATAATTTCAAATTAATCTGAGATCTATATATTAAAAATAAAACCTTATGAGAAATTTGTATTAATACATAGAAACTATTTCTTCCTGAATAATTTAACCATTAGCCACTAGGTGGAGCTGCAGGACCACCATCCATGCCTGGGGGCCATGCCAGAGCACCTGAAGGATAGGGAAGGCATTCACAGGGAACCCTGTGATCTGAGAAGTCAGGGCAAGTAAAGCAATGGCCCAGGAGAGAGACTTGATGTAAGATGGCTAAACACAACGGAAATAGTAAAAGATCACAGGAGCAACAGGAATAAATAACCACAGCAATGATTATATATAATCTAAATGAAATGGGCAACAGTGAGCCCACGCTAACACAATCAAGCAAATGAGTAATATAAATAAGTGTGCTGAGTTCACTCCCAGAACCCACATGGCAGAGTCTGCCTTAAGTACACTCCCTGTGACCTATCCATGAATACACACATACATCATACACATACACAAAATAAAAATGGAAACATTCCTTTTGTAAAAACAGGACTTTTTCATGATTTTAAAGTGCCTTTTTCATAAAATGCTGGCAGCTAGCCAAGAGAAAAAGAATAAAGTCATAGCTGCGTGTTTGGCGGGAGCTGGAGTTAACTGAGGTAACTGTCACCATTGACGTACAAGCTCAAGTTGTGTCACCACACTGAAGCTTTAGCATCAAAAATAAATGAGAAGACAGACGGTGGGTGGCTTGTGCCTATCACCTCAGCTCTTGGAAGACAGAGGCAGGAGAATCAACTGAAGGTCATCTTCCACTAACTAGCAACTTTAAAGTCAGCGTCAACAGATCCATCTCAAAGACAAAGCAAAAGCAAACAAAAGGCAGACACAGAATCCTATCTGTGACATTCCTACCACAGATACAAAATCTGAATCCAATCCTGAAGAAACGCCTGACAATCCAAGTGATGGGGTATTAAAGCACAAAGGTCAAGAAAGAAGAAAAGTAAAACAGTAAGAAAGCTACATATGACATAGATGCTTTTGCTGGTTTAAAGGACAGTACTGGAGAATCTGACACAATCTAAATGGGGGCTACACGTAAAATTATTATTATATATCAATGTTTAGTTCCTTGTTTTGATGGCTGTATTGTTAAATAAAAACACTCTTGTTCATAGGAGGGAGACGTTAAAAGTATCTGGAGTTCAGTCCACCGGGGGCAACCACCTCTCAAATGGTTTAGACAAAAATCTCTGCAAAATATTTTCAAATTTAAGGTTACTCCAAATGAAAAAACAATGTAAGCAAGATAAAAAAAAAAAGAATAAAAACATAGCCTGAAGGTGGTGGCACACACCTTTAATCTCAGGAGAGAGGCAGAGGCAGGTAGATGCCTGAATTCAAGGCCAGCTTGGTTCAGAATGAGCTCTAGGACAGCCAGGGCAACAGAGAAATAAACCCTGCTTCAAAAAACAAAAACAAAAAAAATCAATAAATAACTAAACATTAGAGAATGTCTTTATGAGTGATAAAAACCTTTTGAAAAACAGAAGTAAAAATAGAAAGAAAGGAGGAAGAGAAGTAGAAGGCAGAAAAAAGAAACGAGGATGAGGAAGAGTATCAATAATAATAATAGCAGTACTAGTAGTAACCATAATAATAAATATGTTTTTATTTATAAAATACACATATTTATATTTTAGTCTATATATTTATTTAATTATATATTTATGTTTGTTATATATTTTATTATATATTAATACTTATATTTTATATAAATATAGAAATAAAAACAATAAGCAATAGAAAACCAGGCTGAGTATCCTGGAACACATCTTTAATCTTAGCACTCAGAAGGCTGAAGCAGAAGGATCTCCACAAGTTCAAGACCAGCCTGATCTCCAAATTAGTTCAGGCCAGACAGGGCTAGACAGTGAAACCCTGCCTCAAACACAAAACAAAACAAAACAAAACAAAAAAAAAAGGGAGAAAAAAAAAAGAACCCAAGCCAGACATAGACTCTACTTTTAAAAGAACTCTATAATCCTGAGGCAGCAGGATCACATGAATGACACCACTCTTAACTTGAGAGGCTCTAGAACTGCCTTGAAAACAAATCTCCAGGCATATCCATGAGGGAGCTTTGATTAGATTGAGCTGGGAAGACCCACCCTAGATGTGCGCACACAGAAAACAAGCAGAGCGGAACATTCATCTGTCTTTCTGACCAGCTACAACAAGAGCAGCATCCTCACTCCGCAGCTACCATACCTTCCCTTCCAAGACAAATGCACCAAAATAAACCTTTACTCACTGAGTTATTTCGGGTAGGGGTTCTGTCATGGCAACAGGAAGTCACTAATACAGCCCTATGGTTAGATGCTGTCTCCAGAGCACAGCCCAGTGCCGCAAAGCGCCAGCACAGGACTGCATGAGCCGACAGCGGCTCTCAGAGGAGACTCACAGGGCTCAAGCTAAGCGGAGTCTGACGATGGGAGGTGCAAAGCAAGACTAAAACAGCTAGCGGTAAACATGGGCAGATCTTGAAGGACTCAGCACACAGAGGATTTTAATGTCATACTTTAAGTATCTGGGAGTTATTAAAAGGTTACAAGGCAAAGAACTTAGTCAATTTTATTTTAGGAGATTCATCTTTAAAGATCTACCAACAAAGGTTTGGAGAGTTGAAAGGCAGACCACCAGTTAAAATCCTAATGTCTTTTAGCCTAAGGTCAGATGATGATGACCTGGAAAAGGTGAGAAATAGTAAGTGAAAAAAGGGCTGGAAAGATGATGATTCAGCAGGTAAAAATGCTTGCCATACAGGCCCGGGAAACTTAGTCCGATCCCCAACAAGGGAGAAGGAAAGAACCAACTCCTGAAGGTCGTCATCTCCTGAAGGTCGTCATCTACACACACACACACACACACACACACACACACACACACACACACACACACACACACACACACCAGAGGGGGCGGGGGAGGAAGAGGAAGAGAGAATAGAATCACCAAGATTTAGTAATTGGTTAAATATAGAACCTTCCAGAATAAAGATACCTCAATTTATAACAGATAAAACATGAAACATTAATTTGACTTTTCTTCTTGTGTTTTACCTTTTTCATATTTAATCAGGTACTTCATTTTCTTGACCTCAAAGCTGAGACAGACACATTCCAAAGGAGCTACCAGACTTTTGTAAAGATCTTAGTTCATGCCAAAGACAATGGTAGGAGTTCCTGAACTAAACAGATCATATCCCAGGTTCTGTGAGCCAGGAATTATAAATCTTACATTCCTCCACGTCCTTAAAGAATGTATACTCTAGTAGTGAGGAAAGGGAAGTACAGAAAGAAAATATACAAACAAGCAAAGACCATTAGACACTAAGAAAGTAAGAACAAAGGGGGCTGAGCCAAATCTATGAAGCTAACAGCCTTCTCACTCCCACGAGTCCCTTGTCAAGTCACATTTTCCTCAGAGAAATAAGGTTCCTTGAAACACGTAATGTCAGCTGCCTCCCCCATTAGAACCCAGTTCATCACAGTAGACTAGCCACTTACTGGAACATGCTGAGTTGACGAGCAGGAGTCTACAGACTGGGGAGATGAGACTGAACAACTTGAGGAAGCTGGAGAAAGAGGCTGGGGTTCTACCTTAATATCTTTAACTGAAAGACATGGAGAAAAGGTTTTACACTCACATCCATACAAATGCAAAGCAATGAGTAAAAAAGAAAGTAATGGTCTCTTAAAATTCTATCAGCTGTGAGGGGAAGGTTACAAAAGTGTGTCATTTCAATGAGAAACTCAGAAGCAGCAAACAATGTACACTTCCACTCCTGTAGGAAGCTGCATCTGCACTTGCTCTCAGGAGAGCCCAAAGGGGGAAATCGGTTACATAGTTGCTACTTCCTATCTTGGCTGAGGAACAATAGGAGAAACATTTTTCTACTATACAAGCTTTTCTATGTTTTCAATATTATATAGACCATATACAAAAAGTCAATTACCCAGAAAGAGAAAAGAAACAAGAATAACCAGCATTCTCCCCTCTATATCCTACCCATCTCTTCCCCTTCATTTTACTGATCTTGCTTAGCTCCTGACTCCCACCATAAAATATGGAAAATACAAGGTCAATGTTCTCACTAGATTCTTGTTTTTTTGCTACATTTTTGGCTTTTGTTTGTCTGGTTGGTTGGTTAGTTAGCTGTTGCTGTTGTTTTGGGGTGCTGAATGTCAACCTCAGGACTCTGCATGCTATATAAACACTTTACCACTGAGCTACATCCCACCCAAGTTTTCTAATTACTATTGTGTAACTCTAAGAAGCTTAAAACAACCATCGTATTAGGTTCCCAGAGTCTATGGATCAGGAATCTGGACTGGAGAACATTGTGTAACCCATAGTCTATGAGAGAAGACAGAAATTGAGCAATAAGAACATCAGAGGAAGGAGAACAGGAAGGGTAGAGACAGGAAGGTATTTAACAGGGAGAATGTGCTGATTATATGCACTCTATCTCAATTCCTATAATCTGTGACATTAATTATTAATATGTTTCTAAGTCAGTTTCCTTTTAGCAGTATAGATGTGGCACACAAGAAGGAAACATACTAGAAGACAGGAGAAAACATCCCTCAATTTCTCTTATCAGCCTTGGCCTATCTGTAACAACCTGCCCCAGGTTCTCTCAGCACACTCAAACCCAATCTTATCATATTCCCTTAAAAATATCAGTGAGCTGGGCGGTGGTGGCACATGCCTTTAATCCAGACACTTGGGGAAGCAGAGGCAGGCAGGTCTCAGTGAATTGAGGCCAGCCTGGTCTACAAAGTGAGTTCCAGGATAGCCAGGGCAGTTACACAGAAAATCCATATCTCAAAAACAAACAAAACAAACCAGAAAAAAAAATCAATGCTACTAGTTGCCAGCCTCACCAAGAAACATGAGCTCTGGGTTCTGGGAGAGCCCCTGTCTCAAAAAAATAACTCAGAAGGTGAAGGGGACTAGAGAGATGAGGCAACAGCTATGAACACTTGCTGTTCTAACAGAGGAGGGTTTGATCCCAGCACCCCATGAGGCAGCTCACAACTGTCCATAACTCCAGCTCCAGGGGAGCTGATGTCCTCTTCTGACCTCCACAGGCAACAGGTACTCACACGGTGCGCAAACATACATGCAAACAAAACAGTCATACTCAGAAAAATATTTCTAAGTGAGAGGAGAGGACACAATTTCTTTAGCCTCCACACACACATAAATATATATACTACACACATACACCACACACACACTAGAAAAAAATTTAATAGAGACTAAGGGGAATAACTTTCATATCTAGTTAACAAACAAGGTAAGATGTATTAGTAAGAAGAAGCTATAAGTTATGAGAATGTTATTTTCTTTAGAAGAAAAAAAAGTCTAATTTTTATCCTATAGTAGGTTGGCTCAAGGGTCTTAAATAACAAAACTGTAGAACAAAACCTGAGTGGCCCAGAAGCTGCATGAAGTCAGGGAAAATGTATAACGTGTAATCACGCTAGCCAGGGCTAAAGAGAAATAGAAGCTTTATTCAAAAAAAAAAAAAAAAAAACCCAACAACCCAGCATTAGAGCTAGAGATGGCTCAATAGTTAAGAACTGACAAAAGAGAGAAAAAAGGAGGGAGGGAGGGAAGAAGGGAGGGAAGAGAACTGACTAATCTTCTGAAAGACCCAGGTTCAATTCCTCACACTCTAGTTCATGGGCTCAGACACCTCTTCTGCTCTTTGGGCACCAGACACACAGCAGTGCAGACATACATGAAGGAAAACACTCAAACTTTAAATTTGAATTTTTAAAAATTAAATTAAACATTAAAACCTAAAGTAAACTACTGTAAAACTGCAGTTGAACTCTCTGTTCAAATAACAAGGGTTTTATGGTGTGTTGATCTGCTCTGAATGACAGACTGTGACAGGTCTATCATTACATACTAGGCAACCAACACAGGAGACAAATACAATGTTTCTGCCAATTTCCTGTTCTCTCTGTTGCCATTACAAAGTTTGGATCACCTGAAAAATACAGCATTAGCCAAGTTGTGCCCCTTTCTCAGAAGAATGTACATCAAATGCAAGGAACCCCACTATCAGGATCCTAACTACTGGTAACCCTAACCTCACCCTTTTCATTTCATAAACTCTGTTGGCCAGGGTTTTCTGAACCACTTAATCCAAGTATTACGAACTATCCCAAGAGTCTGGTGGGAGCATTGAAGGGTGAAGCCCATCCTTACCTGAGCAGAAGTGGCTACTGGAGCTCCAAATGTCGGATTCCCAAGGCATTAAATCCAAATCAAAGTTAAGATGATCAAAATGATTTTCCTGTAGGTGTCATACCAGCAAATGATTAGAACAAAATATACATACCTTGGAATCAAACCGTCAGGCAGTTTACTACGAATAACATAATTGCTACTACCCTATCTAATAAAAAGAATCTAAACCAGCCGGGTGGTGGTGGCGCACGCCTTTAATCCCAGCACTCGGGAGGCAGAGGCAGGCGGATCTCTGTGAGTTCGAGGCCAGCCTGGTCTAGAAGAGCTAGTTCCCTTCCCGGACAGGAACCAAAAAAAAAAAAAAAAAAAAAAAAGGTATAGAGAAACCCTGTCTCAAAAATCCCCCCCCCAAAAAAAAGAATCTAAGCCAACCACTTCACACTGCAAACGCATTTTAAAGAACCCAGAGATGCAGCCATTCTGGCTCACAGAAGGACAAGAACAATTAGAAGAGGTAACAGACTCCATGAGTCAAAGATTTATTCTTTTCTGTGAAAACAGACTATTTAAGATTCACAAAATGGTGACAATAAATCTCACTAATCTTTGAGTCATGGAGTCCGTTTCCCCTATGGCCAAGTGTTGGTGGCGCACGCCTTTAATCCTAGCAGTTGGGTGGCAGAGGCAAGCAGATCTCAGTGAGTTCGAGGCCAGCCTGGACAAACTCCAAAGCTACACAGAAAAATCCTGTCAAAAATAAAATAAAATTCACAAAATGAATCTTTTGCCATAGAGAGATCCAGATCCAACAAGAGAGATGTTTTAGATAAACTAGTCCAAACAAACAGTTATTCATATCCTCTCCTTGTAAAAGAAAGAACACAGACACAGCCAAAAACAACGCAGGTATCATGAAGGTGGTAAGTACCATTAGACAATGTTCTTCCCCGCCTCTCTGTGGTTCTCGAACTTCTAAAATCTTTATAAATTCAACAAATAAACCCAAAACCCATTTTTAAGACCAATAAGACAACTCAGCAGGTAGAGGTAATAAAGAATGAGGCAACCAGATATATATATTAATAAAAAAAAAAAAAACCCGGGGCTGGAGAGATGGCTCAGAGGTTAAGAGCAATGGCTGATTTTCCAGAGGTCCTGAGTTCAATTCCCAGCAACCACATACATGGTGGCTCATAACCATCTATATTGAGATCTGGTGCCTTCTTCTGGCCTGTAGCATACATGCAGACAGAACACTGTATACATAATTAATAAATTATGGGAGGCAGGGGCAGGTGTATCTCTGTGAATTCAAAGCTACACTTCATAGCAAGTTCCAGACCAGCCAGGACCATATAATGAGACCTTGTCATAAAAAAAAAAAAAAAAAAAAAAAACTAAGTCATTTTCATTTTAATGGCTCAAAGAATTACAATAAGCTTTTAAAATTAATTTATTTTTATTTTATGTAGATATGTTTTACCTGCATGTATGTCTGTGCAGCATGTATGTGCAGTGTCTGCAGATTCCAGATCCTCTCAAACTAGAGTTATAAGCAGTTGTTAGAGGCCATATGGGTGTTTAGAATTGAACCAGGGTCCTCTGAAATTGCAACCAGTGTTCTTAGCCACTAAGTCATCTCTCCAGGCCTCCAATAACAGTTTTTATATAGTTCTCTGAGTAATCACAAGCAAAGGTAAAAATATGACTAATTTTTAGAGCTCTTAAAAAGGAAGCCGGTAAGCTTGACTAGATCTATGACTCACCGTGCCTCTTATTACTACTATTACCACGAGCCGCAAAGTATCTAAAGATCAAAAAATAGGACTCGGTGGGGTGGTTCAGCCCTAGAACCCCAGCACTCAGAAGGCTGGGGCAAGGGGGGCTGGAGAGATGGCTCAGTGGTTAAGAGCATTGCCTGCTCTTCCAAAGATCCTGAGTTCAATTCCCAGCAACCACATGGTGGCTCACAACCATCTGTAATGGGGTCTGGTGCCCTCTTCTGGCCTTCAGGAATACACACAGACAGAACATTGTATACATAATAAAAATAAATATTAAAAAAAAAAAAAAGAAGAAGAAGGAGGAGGAGGAGGAGGAGGAGGCTGGGGCAAGAGGACTACTAGGAACTGCAAGCCGGCTGAGACACACAGTAAGTCCCAGACCAGCCAAGACTACAGAATGAAGCCTTGTCTCCAAAAGAAAAAGAAAAAAAAATCACTTTAAAGTCACCACCCTAGGACTAACATATGCTAAGCCAACAAGTCTTATCAAACCAGCACTCAGGAACTTTATAGCTCTGCATTTACTGACTGCAAAGGAGCTACTAACACTCCTGATTGATGATGTCTTTTAGCTGCCGCCTAACTACTGTTCTGAAGTCCTCTGCATTAGTCACTCACTATTCCTCCTCCAGGACTTACGTAAGTTTCATTTGCTGCATCGAACTGCACCTCATCAGTATCTGTGAAGTATCCCAGCTCAGCAAACAATGTAGACTCTGGAAAAAAGGACAAAGAAAGCAGCTGTCACTCATGAGCCCGGCAGTGGGACAACTCTGCGTCCTGGGGCAGATCTATTAGTTTCCACTGGGCCTTGCTACTGCTGACAAGCTCAAGCAATGCAAACATCACAAGAACATGGGCTTGGCTCCCCAGAACATATGAAAAAAGTTGGGTACAGTTGTACATATCTGTAATCTAAGCACTGGGGAGGCAGAGAAAAGTGGAGCCCTAGCACTTGCTAGCCACATCAGTAAACTCCAGCTTCAATAGGAGACTGTCTCAAAAACAAAACATAACAAAAAGTAGAAGTGTGACAAGATGGCTCAGCAGTAAAGCATTTGCAGCACAAGTCGGATGACCTGAGTTCTATCCCCAGAAGCCCACAGAGTGGAAGGAGAACTAACTCCACAGGGCTGTCCTCTGACCTCTGCACACGCACTGTGGCACGCCCACCCTCACTCCAACACACACACACACAAGAAAATTTAATTGAAAAAAAAAAAGATGGACCTGACTGAAGAAGACACCCAACGTGAACACACACATGTACATGTACTCACATGCACACATGCACACACGGAGGAGTAAGAACACACATAAAAGTCTATGTAGATAATAAAAGACTCACCTAAATTTTGGTAAGTTGAAGCATATTCTAATTTCTAGTGAGGTTTCCTTATAAACCAAGAAAAATATGGACAAGATTCTTCAATAGTCTATATTTAAAAAAAAAGTTTAGAAGGATCATGAACTATAGGCTCAATGTCCTTTGTTTATAGCTAGTGTCCACTTATGAGTGAGTCCATGCCGTATTAATCATTTTGGGTCTGGGTTACCTCACTCAAGATAGTGTTTTCTAATTCCATCCATTTGCATGCAAAATTCAAAATGTCATTGTTTTTTACCACTGAGTAGTACTCTAATTGTAGCGAGCTGCATGGAATCACACCTGATGGAGATGTATAGTCAACTCCTATGGCTAAGGCCTGACCTATGCTATGATCACGCAATGATCATCAGCTGCTTGCATATGCGTGGGCCTATGAGCAGTGCCCACCTGGCAATCTGGGATTGGCAGCCCATGCCTACTTAAAGGCTGGGAGAGGAAGGAGAGAGAGGGGAAGAGAGAGAAAGTGAATTAAGTCCTGGAATAAAACTGCAGTGAGAAGAGCTCCGGGTGTCGCGTCTTCCTTGCTGGACGAGGTGGGGCGTGACACTAATGTGTAAATGTGCCACATTTTCTTTATCCATTCTTTGGTTGAGGGGCACCTAGGTTGTTTCCAGGTTCTGGCTAGTGATGATTATCTTAAATATCTCCATAGAACCTTCATCCAGCAATTGATGGAAACAGAAGCAGAGACCCACATCGGAGCACTGGACTGAGCTCCCAAAGTCCAGTTGAAGAGTGGAAGAAATGAGAATATGAGCAAAGAGGTCAAGGCCATGATGGGTTCATCCACTGAAACAGTTTACTTGAGCTAACAGGAGCTCACCAACTCCAGCTGCACTGGGAAGGAATAAGCATAGAACCAAACCAGTCCCTCTGAATGTGGTTGACAGTTGCATGACTGGGGCAGACTAAGGGGCCACTGGCAGTGGCACCAGGATTTATCCCTACTGCATGTACTGGTTTTTTGGGATCCTAATCTTCTGGATGGATACCTTGCTCAGCCTAGATATAGTAGGGAGGGCCCTGGACCTTCTACAAATTAATATGCTTACCCTCTCTGAGGATTGGATGGGGGTGGGGTGGGACGGTGTGTGGAGAGAATGGGAGGAGGCGAGGGATTGGGAACTTGGATTGGTATTTTTTAAAAATCTAATTAAAAAAAAAGTTTAGAAGAAGGTCAAGGAGCTGACAAGGCCCAATACTTGCTACAATCTGTAAAGTTTCCCTTCCCTAACACTTGAACTCGTTAAAAAGAGTTTCCCAGCTCCAGGTCCTCCTTTGTACTAAACTCCTGCAGGGATTTCCATCCGCTCCACTGCCAGCCCACTGATCCATTTCTAGCGATCTGAATTAGAACACCACCCATAGGTGAAAACATGTGAATGCTGAGTTCCCAGTTGGTGAACTGTTCAGGAAGGATTAAGAGATGTGGCCTTGTTGGAGGTGTGTCACTGGGGCTGGGATTTGAGGTTTCAAAAGCCCATGCCAGACCCAGTCTCAATCTGCCTGCCAGCTGCTGGCAGATCAGGACCTAAGTTTTTAACTACTGCTCCAGTGCCATGCCTGAGCCAGGCTCCCGGCAAGCCAATCACGGGCTAACTCTCTGAAACTGTAAGCAAGCCCCCAATTAAATGGTTCCTTTTATAAGTTGTCTTGGTCATGGTGTAACAGAACAATAACAAAGATATTGGTTGACCAAGAACAGAAATCTTTTACCAACAAAATAGAACACAGCAATAATGTCTAGATAGCAATAACGCCATGCTAGCCACGCATCTGTCAGAAAAGGCTACTTTAAACTCAGCTCCAGAGCCAAAAATCATGCACACAGAAGGCTGGAAGGATGTGTCTTATCTAAAACTCCTCCAAGTTTTCTGCATTTGCTGTCTCTCATGCCTCCTCATTCTTTCCTAAGCCTCCAGCCAGGCACCCCACTCCATACACATTATTTGTGTCACCAGTGACCTCCACGCTACCAAATTCAACAGCAAATCCACAGTCTTTGCCTCTCCTAAACGAGAGGCATCTGATAGTTTATCCTTTCTTATTTTTTGAAACATTTTCTTCACATAGCTTCCAAAATACTGCATTCCCCTGATCTTCCTCCCACCTCACTGATTGACCCAACCTACCTATCTCTCGAACTGGAAACTGGTCCTGGGTTCAGCAAATTTTCCTATCAAACATTCCCTCTTTGAAACTCCAATGAACTCATAGCTTTAAATAGCATCTCGGTGCCAGGCATTCCCCAGTATGTATCTCCAGTTGATAATGTCAAGAAGCATTGGTAACACACTGAGTTTACATCTCCAATTTAGTACACTCCAACATGAGCTCTCATTACTTCCATCAAGCCTTCTTCTGTTTCTGTCACTTAGTAATGGATTCAGTTCTCCTGGTGGCTCAAGTCAAAAACCCTAAAATCACTGTTTACTCCTCTCCCATGCTCTCTGTACTAGATCTACTTCCAAATCCTATGAGCTTCCAATTCAAAACACATCCATAATCTGGCTTCTTACCTTTCACTCATTCTTCCTTTCTTCCCTAGCCTCCCCAACACAAAGAAGTCAGTTTCTAAGACAGCCGAGCAATGAGGCTGCTGGGGGTTTTTGCATAGTCATCTGCAGCAAAGCCTGGTATCCAAAGAAATGGTAGAGTGGGGAAGAGCATGTTGATTGATGTAGGTGGCAATATTCCCTAGGCACCAATGAAATGGAGCTGGTGGGAGGGGAAACAGCGTGACAGATGGAAGAGACAGCATGTGTAGTTAGGAGCGATTACAGCTAACAATCTGCTAACCGATGAGGCAGATGAATAAATATATATCTAAAAGAACTGGAGTGTGATGTCTCACTGAGGAAGAATTTAAAACATGGAGGGGAAGGCTAACTATAAGTTGTTGGATTGAAATAATTACTAAGTGACCTAATTTTAAATACATTCATATACAGCCAGGAGTGGTGGTACATGCCTATAACCCGTTTCAGGCCATCCTGTGCTACATTCCTAGTTCCAGGCATGCCTGGGTTACTATGACAACGGCCTCAAAGAGGAGGAAGGAGGAGGAGGAGGAAGAAAAAGAGGAGAAAGAAGAAGAAGCAGAAGAAGAAGAGAGCAAGAGATCATTAAAGATATTTACGAGTGTGTATACACAGAGACATGCATTTATTCCCTAGTTCTGTCTGCTGAAAGGTTTACGCACAATGACGCCCCAACAGAATGGAAATAATATGCTCAGACATCAGATATTAAACACCGTCCTCCACTAAATGAAAATCATTATGGGGCTCTTTGGAAAAATGGCTGATTTGGAGCAGAGAACATATAAAATAAGCCTAAGAAATCTTGATGTGTTTTTTTTTTTTTAAAAAAAAAAAAGGAAATTCTCAGCAAAGATAAGAGCATATCAAAAGAAGAATGGTCACAGTTCTGTAGCAGCATTCCTGCCTGACATGTTCAAGGCCCTGAGGTTCAATCCTAGTACCTCATGGACACACAAACAAAAAGGACATGAATATGTCCAAACACCATAGACACTAACATGAAAGAACTCCCACTGATCAAACCTGAGAAAGCATTAGAGTAAAAGTTTACAATTCATTACGATTTAAAAAAAAAATCAATGAATTCACATGGAAGGAGGAAGGAAGGGTGGAAAAGAGTTTGCTTTCTAATGCTGTAAGCGCTGTTTGCAAATTAACAACTAAGATAGGATAGAGACAGACAATGTGCACGCGGCAGGCTGCCACACTCAAGAGGATAGGGGTGTGGGGATTTTAATAACAACAGGACATTGGTGTCCTATCACATTCTGTCCCCTGAATATAAATAAAAACACAAAAGGCAAACTGACTTTACAGAGGAGAAACCTGACAGGTGGCAACTTAGCTTTAATCATGTGACCAAGCACCTTCGACAGCCAGCATCATGCCATCGGCACACCTGCCGTTGCATGGCCTGAGTCTGATCACATGACACAGTAGATAGACCCAGATTATTACTGATTTCTAGCACAAACAACTGCCAAGAACATAATAGACAGGAAAAAACTAGAGCTATTCCAAAATAAAGGCTATCAATGAGACATGTGAGATAAAAGCACTGTGTGTTTCCAGGGAGAATTCCAGACTAGAATGGAAAAGTCATTGAGACAGTCAGCAAAATTTAAAATGTCTGTGAAATGAACAGAAGTGTTGCATCAGAGTTTGTTTTCTGAGTGGAAGAAACACACTGTGGTAATATAGAAAAGCCTGGGATGGGCTGTGCTTGTTATTTTCTTGTGGTGATGGGCTTGATATATACTGTAGTATTTAAGAAGGGGAAGAT